TACCGCCTACTGCGGATCCAACACCCGGGGCCATAACATCATTTATCAATTTAGCTACCCTTGCATTTGCCATTTTCTTCTTCAACTTGGCTGCTTCCGCCTTGCTCTTATTGATTTTCCGGTCCAATTTCTGCAACTCTTCTTCCTCGGTATCCTGATCACTACCGCCTCTATCTTCTTCATTTCTGTGCTCTGATTCATCTTCAGTTGCACCCCCATCATCTGAATCCTCTAATTGTTCAGCCCCCCCCCCCCCAATGACCTATGCAAGCAAGTCATTCATGTAGGTCACTTGATAGGAAGGTTCAACCCCTTGTACTTTCCACTTTTTACTGCTTTTCTCAGGTATGTACTTCTCTGTTGGCAATTTTCTTTTACCAGCAGCAACCGCTTTCAGGCTTTTAACACCAACATTTACACCTTCTTCCTCAAGATCCTGTGTAATTTCCTTCATCGTCACCTACAACAGAAAACATAGTAAGTAGTTGTTAGTAAAGACAATTAATACAAGAGGGGGGGTGAATTGTATCAAGTTCCTGATAGCTACTTTTGCGCAATAATAAAACAATGCATATAGAAGCTTGTAAGGACACACAGATTTTACGAGGAAACCTTCCAGGGCCCAACTGGAAGTAAAACCTCGACCCTACCTTAGGGATTTCAAACACAAACCACTTCACTATTATAGGGCAAACACCAAGTTACAACCTATTAAACACAGACCTTTATTCACAAGTTCCACACTTGCTACTCGATAGGACCCTATCCTACCCAATCTAAGTACCACACTTAGATTCACTTGTATAGCCAAAGTACAAAAATCTCAGCTTCACACTAGAAGCTTAAACAACCTGTATGCGATGTAAAAAGATAACAAACTCACCCAAATAACCTAACCAATACAAATGTATGACGCCTAGTATATGATAGGCAAGCTATGCACGAAATCCAAAACTAATATGACAAGTTAGAAGCTTGGTAAACTTACTCTATTAATGCTTAGTGATTTCTCCATGCATAAACTCGCAAAAACCTTAAACCATTTCGATCTCTACTATTTATAGAAGTAGGACTTGTACAGCAAGGAGGTTTTCTAAAAGATAAATAAGTTAACTTAACTTATCTTTAAAACACGGTTTTATGAAAATCATATTTGAAGAAAATCTTTTCCGGAAAAATAAGATAGAAAGATATTGTTAAAAAGAATGATATCTTTTAACAAACCGATTTTAAGAAATAAAACCTTTTAGAAAATCTTTTCTAAAATCTATCTTTTATATTTTCCTTATTAATTTATTTACCAAGAAAACTTTCCACGCTTCGAATAAATCTCGTGCATTAACCTACTTAACATATTAACAATAATCTAGAAGATAAAAACCTTAGCTAAATTAAGTTGATGCGCCGTGCTTCTATACATGTAGGTTACTTGGGCTCCAAGCAGTCTAAGTTCCTTCAGGGACCTTAGCTTGCTGACTTCAAGTTCCTGTTAGGGAACTTAGCTCTTGTTAGAGAACTTAGTTCTTTTAGAAAACTCTTCTTCTTTTCTGTTTAACTTTTTGTATAAAGATCTCTTCATGTCTTATTAGTTCCAATTGCTTCTTGCATCACCATGATCAACTTCACCTAAACTAATCAAACACTTGAAAACCTTTATTAGATGAGTTTGCTTTAGTTTAAGTTCCTCATCATCAAAACCATTAAGCTTCAACAATTTCCCCCTTTTTGATGATGACAAACTTAAGCAAACTCTTAAGAAAGGTTAAACAAAATAGAAGGGCATATTTTTGTATTTTTTATTTATTGACAAAAAGATAAACACACAAATAGCTAAAAATACGAAAACAAGAAAGCAAAGATAAACAAAACAATACATAAATAAAACTAAGGAATAAACTAAACTTCTTAGCATCATATCAGAAGAAATTTCTGATACTTTATCAACTTGAACCCATAACAACTTTCACTTCCAAGTTTGCTTCTTCTTTTCCCCGTTTTGGCATTATCAAAAAGTCCTGCTTTTTCATGTTTATTAAGCATCTAGCCGCAGCCCTACAAGCAATTCATTGAGTGTAGGAAACTAAAGGCAGCGTTGTTAACTTCCCTTAAGTAAGTTCCACTTTCATGCATAAGTGTTCAAAACATACAAATACACACAAGTATAGGCCAAGTTCCAACTATTCTTTTAAAAACCAAAATATTTAACATCCTGCTGAACAATTTAAAAATATTACAACCAAAATTAATTGTTCAAAAACTAAAACAGAAATTGAAATTGTTCATGACTTCAAAGTGAAATAGGCTAGGCTAATAATGAGGTTGAAAATAAGCTTGCATAGTTAATTATTCATGAACTCCATAATTTGTCTACTGTCTTCCTCTTGTTTAGCAGCAAAAGAGTCAAATCTTTCCTCAAGACTCTCAATTTGTTGCTGAAACTCTAGTTTTTGATCTTTCAGAAACTTGTCTTGTTTCTGCACAGACTTTTCTAACCTCTTAATCTTCTCAGCAGATTCTTTCACTACCTTTTCAACCAACACCAACCTAACAGTCAACTTGGCAACTTGTCCATCCAGATCCCTGTCATCAGTATTCAGCTCAACTGGCTTCTCCATACTGGTTTGAGGAGCAGAGCTTGTTGACAGTCTCCTGCTCTTCCTCACAGGCTTCTCACCCTCTTCGTTTTCTTTTCTTTTTCCTGTTTCTTTCTTCTCTTTACCCTTCTCCAGTTTCCAAATCTTCTCATTAGCCACCTCCAAGCTAATTCCCAGAAGAGTTTCCTCATTTATCACATTTTCTAGTTTCTCCTCCAAAACTCCATACTTTCCCTTTAAGACTACTCCAAAAATTTCGAAATCTGTGGACAGGATGGCTCCATATCCAACCTTAGTTTTACTTGGAACACAATGTGCCAAGTGCTGAAACATAAGCGAGGGAAATTTATCTTTATTTTCTTCGATAAACAAAAAATCACAGTCATGTCCATTACACATGCTTCCCCTTTCTTTGGTGTTCGAGGAAGAATGGTTTTCTTTACTAAATTAAACAGCAACTTGTTCAATGGGCTTAAGTCATTGTGACTCATAATGTTCTTCCCCCTTTTTCCTCCAAGAGCTTCAACTATGTCACCACTCAAATACTTTCCAACTTTTACACTTTCCTTTCCTTTGACGTAGGTCTCATATCCAGCAATAGGTGTTTTCAGAATTTTGCCTAGGGTTTCAACATTGAACTCAAATTTTACCTCATCAATTGCACTAGATATAACTCCTAATTTTACTTCAAAATTACGACATAACTCAGTCATACCAATTGGGTACATGTAATTATCAGAGGCTTTAGACAACAATTTTTCCCAACCTTGGAACTTAATTGAATAAAGAAATTCTACGAAGCTAGCTTTTCTACACCAAGTCAACTCAATGCGATGACCTACAACATACCATCCTGCTAGCGATTCAAGCTCAGCCTGATCAATGATCTCTTCATCTTCTTCTTTCTCAGGATTTTCTCCCTCCGAGTCCTCTAATTTTTCAACAAAATCCTCAACTGTCTTTCTCTTCTCTTTTATCTCCTTCCACTCTTTCAACTTCTGAAGAACTGAGTTAGAAGTGAATTCCTCTGATTCTGCAGGTTTTGGGTTTTGAGATGGAGAGGATATGTCGTGTTTGGCTTTAGGTTCTTTGTAGGACACTAAGGGAAGAGATGACACTTCTTCTTTTTCTTGGTTTTGGAGGTTATGAGAGCTTTCGGATGAGCTAATTGAAGTGATGATAACCATGGTTATGTCTTAAAGGGGTAGAAGTTTGTAGAAGGTTTTTCACAGTGGGTAATTTTGATTTGATAGTGATGATGTAAAGGCGGGTGAAGATTCCTTTTATAGTAAATGAATCGGTGTGAAGGAAATTAAGGTTTTTCACTTTTCAGTCATTAATTGAACATATTCAATTAAATTTTCAAATTTTAAATTAACAGGATGAATTTGCCAAATCCTTTTCTTTCCAAATTCATTTAATTTCAAAAAAAACTTTCTGAAAATAAAACCACGCAATTGGAACACGCTTTGTACATATGTGCAATGTACATAATTAATAACTTACACATTTAAGAGTTTTAATGAACTTACCTCTAGTAATTAACAACGGTGACACTTCAACTATGTTTAGCACACCAAGATTGTGCTAAATGCTCTTTTTGCTCTATTTATATAATTTTTGACTTTGCCATATCTTGGAACTTCAGAAGCAATCAATTCAACTTGATCATCCCAAGTTCCAATCTCAATTTCTCAAATCTTTCTCTGCTCAAGGGCTAGGTTAGAATATCTGCAATTTGATTTTCAGTATGACAAAATTCTAACTTAATATTCCCTTTCTCCACATTATCTTTTAAAAAGTGATGCCTAATGTGGATATGTTTTACCTTTGAGTGTTGAACTGGATCCTTAGAATACATATAACACTGGTATTATCATAGTAAATAGGCATACATTCAAAAATAATACCAAAATCTCTGACCTGTTGCTTTATCTAAAGTACTTGTGAACAACATGATGTTGCTGCAATGTACTCAGCCTTAGCTGTAGACATTGCTACTGTGTTTTGCTTCTTCGAACCCCAAGAAACTAAACAAGATCCTAAAAACTGTACCATACCTGAAGTGCTTTTTCTATTGACCAAATCACATGCATAGTCAGCATCAGTAAAGCCATTTAAATCAAAGAAGTCACTTCTAGGATAGAAGAGACTCAAATCATCAGTTCCTTTCAGGTATCTAAGGATTCTCTTTAATACTTTCAAGTGAGACTCCTTTGGGTTTGCTTGGAACTTGGCACACAAACCTACACTAAAAGATATGTCAGGTCTACTAGCTGTTAGATAAAGTAAAGAACCTATCATACCTCTATACATAGATTGATCAACACAAGTTCTAGTTAGATCTTCATCCAATCTGGTTGCTATATCCATTGGTAGGGCTGTGCACTTTTAGATCCAGACCGTAAAACCGACCGGGACCGACCGGAACCGGAACTGGACCAGAACGTAGCCTTCCGGGTCGGTCCTCGGTCCTTTAAAATTAGTCATTCCGGGTTTCCGATCCGGTCCGGGTAAAACCCGGTAAATTCCGGGCTGGACCGGAAACCCGGGAAAAATGTATATATATTTTGTTTTTTTTTTTTAATTTCCTAAAAACCCTAACTTCTATCAATCTCATTCACGAATCACGCCTCTTCAGTCTTCAGTCTTCACTCTCACTCTCTGTCCTCCTCTAACCTCTTTCCCGTTCTCACTCTCTGCCCGACGCCGCCACGGCTCCGCCCCTGTTCTCAACCACGGCACCGCCCTCATCTCTGCAGGCCGCAGCACCGCTCTCCTCTTCGACTTCCAGCCTCCAGCCAGGCTCCAGGTATGTTCTAGTTCAATTGTTAGCCTCTCTTCGTTTTTTTTTTTGTTTTTTTGTTTAATTAAATTCAATTTGTTAAACTCAGCCTCCTCCTTCGATCACTCCAGTCGTCGACGCCTAACAGCCCTCACCGAAAATTGCTCCTGTTCTAGTTCGAAAGTCAGGTTTGTGTTTTTTTTTCTTCTGTTTTTGTTACTTAATAAATTGATAGGCATTTTTGGATGTAATTTTGTGTATTTAATTTGTTTTCAGAGTATTACCATTCAATTGTTCAACAACGGATTCATATTCATGCAATGTAAGTTGCTTGCATCAGTTGCATGTTCAATTCTTTTAAAAAAAAATGTTTTTGATTTTAATTTGTTTTTATTCATATGATTCTGCCATATTTTTGGGATATATAATTAAATATAATGTTGTATTCTGCCATATAATGTTATATAATGTCAGAGTATTAAATATAATGTTGTATTCTGCCATATAATGTTGTATTCAGTTGCATACTTGCATGTTCAATATAATGTTATATGATTCTGCGGTTCTGCCATATAATGCATTCTATTCTTAACATATAATTAAATATAATGTTGTAGATGGCGAGCTCCCAATCCAAAAGGGCACCGATATACTCTTCTGATCAAACGGCACATACACTTTCGGATGCTTCTAACAACACTAATATTGATTTATTGCGGCAATCCTTGCCTCCGGACAAGACACTTACGGAGGGACGGAAGTATTTGGTTAGAACAAAAACCAAGAGGAAGGCTGAATATTGGAAGAACTACATTGAGTACTTAGATGATGATGGCAAACTACGTGCTGAATGTAAGTTTTGAAAAAAAACTTTTGCTGCTGATGGCAATGTTAATGGTACTAAAAATGTTAAAAACCATTCTGAAAATTGTTTTGGTAATCCTGAAAATAAAGACAAGGGTAAGGGTAAGCAAAGTCAATTGAATTTTCAACCCGGGGATAATGAAAATGAGGCTGGAAAACTGAAGTGTGGGGTTGTTAGTTTTAAAGAGGTTAGAGAAGAATTGATTTGTATGGTCATTACTGATGAACTGCCATTAAAACATGTTGAAAAACCTGGTTTTAAGTAATTTGTGGAAGTTGCTTGTCCTGGGTTTACCATCCCTAGTCGTACTACTATTGCTCGTGATTGTTTACGCCTTTATTATCGTGAAAAAGAAATACTTAAAAAATCATTTGAGGGATGTCAAAAAATTTGTGTCACAACAGATACTTGGACTTCAATTCAAAGAATCAACTATATGTGTCTCACAGCTCATTACATAGATAGTGATTGGAAATTGAATAAAAAAATTATAAATTTTTGTCCTATTTCTAGTCATAAGGGTGAGGCCATTGGTAAATCAGTGGAGGCATGTTTAGAGTATTGGGGTATTGAGGATAAGTTGTACACTGTTACAGACTTACAGTTGATAATGCTAGCTCTAATGATCTTGCTTGCGCACATTTGAAAAAAATGGTTCAACGAACTGGATGTGTTAATAATGGAAATTCTCTTCATGTTCGATGCATAGCTCATATTATTAATCTTATTGTTTGGGATGGTATTAGAGAGCATGGTGTGTGCATTGATAGGGTTAGACATGCTGTAAAATATATCAAGAATTCTCCTGCTAGATTTGCTAGGTTTAAAGATCTTGCTCAAAAGGCTAATATACAAAGCAAATCTTCTTTATGCTTTGATGTCCCTACTCGATGGAATTCGACTTACATGATGATGGAAACAGCTTTGAAATTTCAAAAAGTTTTTGGTGGGGTGTCACTTCCCGATGGAGAAGGTGTGAAGGATAATGAAAAACCTCCTGACCATGATGATTGGGTCAAGGTGGGAAGGTTAGTTTTGTTTTTGGAGGAGTTTTATCATTTGACTCGTAATGTCTCTAGTTCTCTTTATGTGAAAAGTAATAAAGGTTTATTTGACATTGCATATGTTTATGATTTTCTAAATGAATGGGAAAAAAGTGATGATTTGAATTTTCAAGCTATGGCCATTTCAATGAAGAAAAAATTTGATAAGTATTGGGGAAAAGTGGCTAATATGAATATGTTTATACATGTTGCTTCCATTCTTGATCATCAATCCAAATTTCGTATTGTTGAGGAAATACTTAGCGATATGTATGGAGAGGAAAAAGGGACAAGACTTGGTGTTAAAGTAAAGCAATTTACTTACTCTTTATTTGAATAGTATAAAAATTTGTATTCTTCCTTCATTCCTCAAAGTGGCCATAGTGAAGATCATGTGCCAATTGATGTAGATGTTGATGTGTCGGATAAGAGTAAGAATAAGGCGTATTTTGCAAAAGTTAAGGGTAGAGTTAATAAAAAGATGAGAGCGGATAATGCATTTGCAAATAGTGAGTTTGATAGATACATCAATGAACAATTAGGGCCGGAGGAAGAAGAAATGGATGCTTTATCTTGGTGGGCACAAAATGGACATCGTTATCCTATTGTTTCACGTATGGCACGTGACATATTAGCCATTCCATTGTCTACCGTTGCATCGGAATCCGCCTTTAGTACGGGAGGTCGCCATCTCGATCCTTTTCGGAGTTCTTTGACACCTAAGGTAATGTTTTTTGCTTTAAGTTATTTTATTTTTACATATTTATATTCTCATATTCTATGTTGGCTTTGTTATATATTTTTTATTTTTTTTATATGAAAGATGGTTCAAGCTTTGATTTGCTCTCAAGATTGGCTTAAACCAGAGGGAATGATGGAAGTTGATGTTGAAGAAAAAGTAAAAGATTTAGAGGAGATTGAGAAAGGTATTTCTTACACTATTACTTGCATTTTCAATTTTTTTGAAATTTAAATATTTATTTTTTTCATTTGATTAGAGGTGGAAGTTGATGATGGAGATCATGAGGTCATTTTTGTGGACTATTTTGCATGATTTAAGATTTGGAGGTAATGTTTCCACTTTTTATTTTCATTTAAAGTATCTTTAAACTTCTAATCTCTAACGTTGATGATTTTTTTTTTTGTTTTGTTTTTGCTAGAGCGGTGATGGAGAATTGATAGAAAAATGGAGAGGAGAAATTATCAAAGATTGAAGAACTTAGCTCTTTTTCATTAAACTTGTATTACTTTGGTGTTGTATTTAACTAGGGACTTGTTTTGGTTTGTATTCGGATAAATCGGATGTATTGAGTGTGTATGATGTTTGGCTTTTTTTTTATTTTGTGATTTATATATTTTTGGGGAAAAAGTACACAGGTTAAAAAAAATGATAGAAAAAGTACACAGGTTAAAAAAAAACAGGTTAAAATGCAGGAAAAAAGGTACAGTCGGTCCCAACCGGTCCAAAACCGGAATGGACCGTATTAAACAGGTCCAGACCGGGACCGGACCGGTAGAATACGGTCCGGTTTCTGGTTCTTAAAAATAGCTTATTCCGGGTTCCGGTCCATACCGGTCTCGGTCCGGTTTTGGACCGGTGCATAGCCCTACCCATTAGAGTGTTATTAGTCTTAGCATTATCTAGCTTGTACTTCTTGATCAGTTCCTTGATATATTTTTATTGATGGATCATGATTCCTTCTTCAGTTTGCTTGATTTGCAATCCGAGGAAGAATTTTAGTTCTCCCATCATGCTCATTTCAAATTCTCCACTCATAAGGTCAGCAAAATACTTGCACAAAGATTCATTAGTTGCACCAAATAAAATATCATCAACATAAATTTTGCACAAATAATATGTCAGTTCCATTTGATTTTAAAAACAAAGTTTTATCTATTTTACCATGTTTAAAACCATTTTGCAATAGGAACTTAGACAATCTTTCATACCATGCTCTAGGAGCTTGCTTCAGCCCATAAAGAGCTTTTTCAAGCTTATAGACATGGTTTGGGAACTCTGGATTTTCAAATCCATGAGGTTGTTCCAGATAGACTTCTTCATTTAAAAATCCATTTAGAAATGCACATGTAACATCCATATGGAACAACGTGAATCCCATATAAGCAGCAAAAATAATAAGTAAACAAATAGCCTCTAACCTAGCCACTGGTGCAAATGTTTCTTCGTAGTCTATTCCTTCTTGTTGATTGAAACCTTGAACAACAAGTCTTGCTTTGTTCCTGACAATAATACCATGCTCATCTAGCTTGTTCCTAAACATCCAGTTTAGACCTATAGTCTTCTTATCCTTGGGTCTAGGTTCCAGATGTCAAACTTTATTTCTTTCAAACTCATTTAATTTAGCTTGCATAGCATTAATCCAATCTGCATTAGTTAAAGCTTTAACATAGTTATTAGGTTCCATAGAAGAAAGGAATGCATAGAATGCACAGAAGTTTCTAAGCTAAGATCTAGTCTGAGTTCCTTTTGTAATATCACTCATGATTGTATCCACAGGATGTGATTTTTTATATTTCCATCGTTTTGGTGTAAAGTCCTTGACTGGATACAACCTTTCCTGATTGTTGTTGACTGGTTCTTCTGTAGGAACTTGGTCTTGAGTCTTAGTTGGAACTTCAACAGGATATTCCTCAACCTGATCTTGATTTTGTTCTTGAGGAGGAGTTCCTTGTGCATTCTCCATTTCAGATTCTCCATTTGCTTCTGGATTCGTTTCTTCTACATTTTCAACTTGCTGCTTCTTCAATGATGTTGATTCCTCATCTGGATCTTGCTTGGGCACAAGTCCAATTTCAAAATCATCATCACAATCCTGTACATCATTTAACTGTTCAGTTTCATCAAATATAATATGTACAGATTCCTCAACACACATTGTTCTCTTATTATAAACTCTATAGGCTTTACTATTTGAGGCATATCCTAAGAATACTGCCTCATCACTACGTTCATCAAACTTTCCCAAGTTCCTTTTACCATTGTTATGAACAAAGCATCTACATCCAAAAGATCTAAAATAAGAAATATTAGGCTTTCTCCATTTGATAAGCTCATAAGGAGTTTGGTTGGTGATGGCTCTAACATATACTCTGTTAAGAATATAGCATGTTGTATTCACTGCTTCTGCCCAGAAGTTCCTAGGCAGTCCACTTGAGATCAGCGTTGTTCTCGCCATGTCTTCAAGGCTTCTATTCTTGCGTTCAACAACTCCATTCTATTGTGGAGTTCCAAGGGTATAGAAGTTGTGATCCATTCCATGCTCGATGCAAAACTCATCAAAATTTGAGTTTTCAAATTTAGTTTCATGATCTGATCTAAGGTGAATCAATGGATTACCTGTTCTTCTCTGTTCTTTCTTTACAAAGGCTACAAATTCATCAAATGTCTCATCTTTGATAACAAGAAAGAAAACCCAAGTAAACCTTGAAAAACTCATCAACAATAACCAATACATATCTCTTACCACTTCTAATTTGGATTCTCATAAGACCACACAGATCCATATGAATAAGTTCCAAAGGTCTTTTGGTTTTTACCATTTATTTGGACTTGAAAGAAATTCGAGTCTGCTTTCCTCTGAAACAAGCATCACACACTTTGTCATACAAGAACTTAATGCAAGGAAGTTCTTCCACTAGTTCCTTAGATTTAAGCTTATCAAGTAAAGTAAAGCTTGCATGGCCAAATCTCTTGTGCCATAATAGAGGATCGTCCTCAATAACACTAAGACATGTTAAACTGTTGTAAGGAACCTCGTTAAGATCAACATCATATGTGTTCCCTTTATGAGTTCCTTCTAAAATAATGTTCCCAGTGTCATTGTGAATGATTCTGCATTTATTGGAAGTAAAGCTTACAGAGTTACCTTTGTCACAAAATTGTGAAATACTTAACAAGTTGTGTTTGAGACCCTCAACTAAAAATACATTATCAATAGCATGGGAACTTGACCTTCCTACCTTGCCAATAGAAACTATATCTCCTTTCATGTTATCACCAAAGGTCACAGTTCCCCCATAGTAGGCATCTAGTGAGAGAAATCTAGATTTGTCTCTAGTCATGTGCCTAGAACAACCACTGTCGAGGTACCAAGTGTTGTTTCCCCTTACTAGAACCTGCAAGAGAAATCATACGTTAGTGTCAGGAACCCAGGTTTCCTAGGGTTCCTGTGTAACAGCAGCAGGTTCATTCTTCTTGATCCAGATCTGTTCTACATGTTTTTCATTTTTCTGTGTACTCTTTTCTTTCATAGAACACTTAACTTGTTTATGTCCTGTATTGCCACAAACAATACTACTAGGCAGGTTAACATACTTCTTTTCCTTTTGGAACTTCTTTTTTCAACCCAAACCTTCAGTTCTTTTGGTTTGAGCTTTGGTGATCCAATCTGGAACTTTGTACTCTATAGGTTGTTTGCCTTTCCTAGATTTCTCAAGTTCCCCCTCAAGTCATGCCTTATCCGATCTTAGATCTTCCAAATCAGATTTTAGTTTTTCAAAATTCGGATATTGAGCAAGTGGAAGAACTTCAGAATTAGGAGCATCAAGACAGAGTTTTATCAAGGACAGTTCCACATTTAACATTATATTATCATGTTTTAACCTGTCTACAGTTTCTTTCAAATAATTATTGTCATCAAACAGACTAAAGAACCTATATTGAATATCAAATTTCATATTGTTAACCCACTCACTGTTTTCTTTAAAATTTACCAAAAGCTTCATCACTTTGCTGTTTGGCCCTATGTAATTCTTTCAAGTCTTCTTGTATTTCCAAAACAGCATATATCAAGTTTTCTTCAGAGAAATGTCTTAAGTCTTTTTGAGAAAACCATACCTCAGATTTTAGCTCCTTCAGTTTTGCTTTTTCATCTGTTTTAGCCATCAAACACAGATGGGCAGTTTCCTCTAATGGTTTGTCCTCTTCTTTCTCTCAATCTGAATCTCCCCAGGCAGCTAGCATAGCTTTCTTCACATTATCTTTGTTGAAGTAAGGTTTATAGACTCTTCACTCCTTGGATTGCTTCTTGCCTTTTGTCTTTCCTTTATCACCATCCGGTACTAGACAATCCTCAATGAAATGATCTTTAGACCCACACTTGAAACAAGTTGTGTTCCTAGAACTTGTGTACTTCTTGTTCCTATCGAACTTCTTGTTGTTCATCATCTTTTTAAATCTTCTTACTAGCATTGCCATCTCTTCCTCATCAACTTCTGATTCCTCTGAGTCTTGAGCCTTAAGAGCAAGACTCTTGTTCTTGGAACTCTCAGTTTTAGAACTTAGGTGAAGTACATGAGTCATCAATGATCTAGCTAGTTGTTCCATGTTGAACTTGGTGAGGTCTTTAGCTTCCTGCATTGCAGTAACCTTGGATCTCCAGCGTTCATCTTGTGGGAGGCTCCTTAAGATCTTCCTTGCTTGTTCATCAATAGGAATGTGCCTTCCAAGGGAATTTAATTAATTAATAATATTATTGAACCTAGTAAACATTTCCTCTATAGATTCCCTGGACTGCATTTCAAGCCTTTCATATCTAGACATCAATAAGTCAATCTTAGAACGTTTTACCTCATAAGTACCTTCATGAGTTACCTCTAGTAGATCCCAAATCTGTTTAGCAGACTTGCATCCCATGATACGATTATGTTCATGAGGTCTAAGTCCACAATGAAAATAGTTTATTGCTAAAGCATTTAATTCAAGTTTCTGATAATCTTTTCTATTAGGAGCTACCTCGTTCTTTTCATTGGTTGAGGTTATTTCAAAATCACCAGATTCAATAACACGCCAAACCTGATAATTTTCAGCCTTGATGAAGATCTCCATTCTGTTCTTCCATTAGGTGTAAAACTTACCGTTGAACATGGGTGGACGTTGGGTGGAATACCCTTCTTCAAGTTTCTCCTTGTAATTCATCTCTCCAGGAACTTACTCAGAAAAGTTATCTGCTTACACGTGAGAACCTTGTTCAGATACCAATTGTTAGTAGAGACAATTAATACAAGAGGGGGGTTGAATTGTATTGAGTTCCTAATAGCTACTTTTGGGGAATAATAAAACAATGCATATAGAAACTTTCAAGGACACACAGATTTTACGAGGAAACCTTCCAGGGCCAAACTAGAAGTAAAACCTCGACCCTACCTTAGGGATTTCAAACACAAACCACTTCACTATAATAGGGAAAACACCAAGTTACCACCTATTAAACAAAGACCTTTATTCACAAGTTCCACACTTGGTTCTCGATAAGACCCTATCCTACTTAATCTAAGTACCACACTTAGATTCACTCATACAGCCAAAGTACAAAAATCTCATCTTTACACTAGAAGCTTACACAACCTGTATGCGATGTAAAAAGATAACAAACTCACCCAACTAACCCAACCAATACAAATGTATGACGCCTAGTATATGATAGGCAAGCTATGCACAAAATTCGAAACTAATATGGCAAGTTAGAAGCTTGGTAAACTTACTCTATTAATGCTCAGTGATTTCTCCACGCATAAACTCGCAAAATCTTAAACCATTTCGATCTTTACTATTTATACAAGTAGGACTTGTAGAGCAAGTAGGTTTTCTAAAAGATAAATAAGTTAACTTAACTTATCTTTAAAACACGGTTTGATGAAAATCATATTTGAAGAAAATCTTTTCCGGAAAAAATAAGATAGAAAGATATTGTTAAAAAGAAACATATCTTTTAACAAACCGATTTTAAGAAATAAAACCTTTTAGAAAATATTTTCTAAAATCTATCTTTTATATTTTCCTTATTAATTTATTTACCAAGCAAACTTTCCACGCTTCTAATAAATCTCGTGCATTAACCTACTTAACATATTAACAATAATCTAGAAGATAAAAACCTTAGCTAAATTAAATTGATGCGCCGTGCTTCTATACAGGTGGGTTACTTGGGCTCCACACATACTAAGCTCCTTCAGGGACCTTAGCTTGCTGACTTCAAGTTCCTGTTAGGGAAAGTTCCTGTAGGGAACTCAGTTCTTGTTAGAGAACTGCAGGCGTCGCTCGAAGTGTGCCTACGTTAAAGCATATTGTGAATATGCTTGGCACTCATAGGAAGTGGGAATTGACATTACGATTACGGACAAGGAAATTAGGGAGCCGCCAACAAGTTTTTAAGGAACTTGTAAACTGTTCACGGATCATAAAAGGCAACCACGAATAAGGGACAACGATAGGCAACAACGATTGACTCGTGAAGGTTACACCCCATTCATAATCCATGAGATTATTAACTCCATATGGTTCGGAACCACGAAAGGAGGATCGCGGATGATGGTATGAAGTGAGTCATGGAGTCACATTCGCCCGTTTTGGCCTCTACTCGATTCTTATAGTGAAAAGTGATTCCTGCGATCTCAAAGGCATACAAACAAAGATATTCAATTTGCTCCAAACTATTATTAAGCTAAATTGGTTGAATATTAATGCAACATATAATTCTAAAATATTGTGATCACTTTAATTAATTAACAAGATTAAAAAGGATCCTAAACCGGTTGTCCAATTTATCTTATTAGGCGTGATTTTCAATTACATATTCCCTTTAACATGAAATATGGTGATCATAACAATAATAGAATAAACATTAATATTGGAAACAATTTAATCACAATTCCAACAACATAAAATCGTTAGAAAAATAATAGAAATAAAAGGAACATGATTCTTACTTTGATTCTATTTGTTTGCAACTAAAAAATAATAAACGAGTTAGTAACTTCAAGGAAATAATGATAGTCCAACAATTAAATTAAACAAAGTAGAGTTGATTTGGGGCCAAACCCTCAAACAGTTCTACCTTTCACGCCTTGGCTTAACGACAGAACCACGAGTAAAGTATGGACTCCTTTGAGCACTTGAAGAAGGAATTTTGAAATGAGAAGGGTAGGCTAGTGTTTAGGCTAAAGCATAGGAGAGAGAAAAATAAACTAGAGAATTCATTGATGCCCCGTACATCAGAAATGAGGGGGTATTTATAGGAAAAATGTGCTGAGGGAGCACACGGAACCCTAAAAAAGTATCCCGTGACACGGCAAACTGTACCGTGACACGGGAAGTCCCACCGTCAGACGACAAACTTTCCCGTGACACGGTACATTTTTAGTGTGACACGGGAAATTTTCAGAAAACGGGAAAGAAAACGCGTTAAGGGTTTACGCGGAAAAGACACGGAATGTCCCGTGTCACGGCAGACTTCCCGTGTCACGGGAAATCCTACCGTCAGACGGGAAGGATTCCCATGACACGGTGGCTGTCTACCGTGGCGCGGGAATTTCCAGCCCTCTTTTCCGTTTAAATGCATTTTTAACCCTAATTTCATTCGGCATTTTAAGTGCCGATTGATAATTTCAGGCCTTTTCTGACTTATTATTATTTGGGCTAAAATAAGATAATAATTAAATAAAAATAAACAAAAGGTTGGGCCAAAAATAAAATAAAAAAGGGTTTGGGCTAAAATTAAGTAATAAGTTTGGGCTGAAAATAAAAACTATGCTTTTACAAAACATCAAGACTAATCCATGGACCATTCAAAAATATGAATTTAATCAAATACGATTTTTTTAAGCACTCCCGGGATTAAATACTGAACCCGACCAATAGTGGCGGTGAAAGGTTGTTCATCGTCGGGTTTGGTTTTGGGGAGACATTTTTAGGTGTCTACAAGAACTCTTCTTCTTTTCTATTTAACTTTTTGTATAAAGATCTCCTCATGTCTTCTTAGTAACAGTTACTTCTTGCATCACCACGATCAACTTCACCTAAACTAATCAAACACTTGAAAACCTTTATTAGATGAGTTTGCTTTAGTTTAAGTTCCTCATCATCAAAACCTTTAAGCTTCAATAGTAGTTATACAGGTTCATTCCCCCAGTTTCACACACAAATACACAAAACACACACTTACTCACCCCCAACTTCGCCCTACTACCAACTGCTGGACGAGAAGTAGCACACCTTTTTCGTCCCCTTTGTCCCTCTGCATATAAACAGTTTATATTAAAACCAATTAAAACAACAGGTTAATTTCCATAAATTTTCTTAGTTTGTTAGTTTTATAGTGCTATCAAATGCCAACATCGGTCCACTTTAAACAAAAAATTTGAATTTCACATCAAATTACACCTATACCCATCCAAGATTGACCAACACATATTCATTAATATTTTACAACATAACATGTGTAAATATATTTAACATTTCAAATACCAACATTATTCGGATTTGAACCAACAATTGATTCAACTTTCAAAGCAATTGATTAAGCAATCAAAAGCACAAATAACCTAGTTCAAATAAATTTCATGGTTTTCCCCACATCAATTATTTACTTCAACATGAAACCTAGTCAGAATTACAAAATTCGAAATCATTGCCGAAATACATCAACGCTGAATAGTAATAACATAAATTTCAGGGTGTTCTGCACGTCATAAAAGAAGCTTTGTTGCATAATTGTACAACATAAAATCAATTAATGGGAAAATTGGATATAATTACGCTTAATTTTCCTTGTATTCGTAGAAATAACTCCAAACAAAGACAACTCTAATAACAGAATAACCCAAGTTAGAAATAAATTCAGTACAATGCATTCAAATTTAAATATTTCTTAGCAAACAAAAAGCCACACTACACATTTTCAAAATTCTAGGGTTCCCCAAATTACTTACCTGAGATAACCGATGCCAGAATAACAACCGCCAAACAATGATGCCGATGCTAGAACAACAACCGCCAAACAACAAGCACTCACTAACGACCGGAGACCCAGAAACGAAGTGAGGAGAAAGCGAAATTGAGTGAGAGAGAGAGAGGGGGAGGAGAGTACAGAGAGAGGGAAGTTATAT